TTTCTAATTAGACACTTTCTAAATTACTCATAAAATATTCTCTTTAAAGGATTAAGAAAGAGTTTGAATCTCTTATCTTTTAAAGTTTTACTCTTTCAATAACAAAAACAACAATTCTCTTTTTCTTCCTTTATATGAATGCTTATGCTTGATTAATATAAGTTTGCACAAAAAGGAATGTTGACAATCTGTTTTTATCATAGTCAATTATCATCATCATTATCCAAAATTGTATTACTACACATTGTTGTTGTCCTATTTGCAACACTTGATGTCGATTTCTTTGAACAAAGCATGTTGTTAATTTTTTGTTGGTTATGATCAGTTTTCTGTTTCTTGGCGCATGGTCCCGTTGTCAGTTTCTGTACGTTTTCCTTATCTTTTTTTGCTTGACGAAAAACGTCATTAATGGCCTCATTAAAGTCATGTTTAGGTATTGGACCATGCTGTAATCCACAAAATCTAAATTAGAATCAAATAAATTTCTGAAGACCTACAAAAAACAATGTCTATTAATGATAAGAACCATGTAGATCATATGAACTGAGCTAGAATGCTTCTTCTCGGTTAATATAATATATTCATAAAGAGAGAGTAACCTTCTATTAATTAGAAGTCGTCTATGAATTTTAAAGAGATACATCGACATCTTATCTTTGTTTTCGGTAGAGAATTAGTCATCAAGATGGTACTCACTACGAATAGCTTCACGTAATTGTTTGGAAACAGCATTTGGTCCGGTCTTTCCTGACAACTGTTCTTCTGAATATAAAGCACGAATAATTTGTCGAACTGTAGCAGTACCCCTATCTTCAATACAAGTAAGAAGTACATTTGCATTGATATTGTTTATTAGTTCGGCATGTTCACAAATAGTTTTTGCAGATAATTGTTCACCCAATCTTTTTCCAAGATTAATAAACCATGAACGAGCTCCTGCATTGGGTAGAGCTAAAACAGATGAATATTAAAAGAAAAATCCTTTAAAAATCAAACATTCCAACGGGTAACAGCTACATTGATAATAGCAGTGAGAAATTTAGTATCGGAACAGTGACAACATAATTATATCGAGAATTGTTGTTTTTGTTATTGAAAGAGTAAAACTTTAAAAGATAAGAGATTCAAACTCTTTCTTAATCCTTTAAAGAGAATATTTTATGAGTAATTTAGAAAGTGTCTAATTAGAAAATATATACAATTCTGCACAAAAAAACTATGTTTTGTTTGCATTCAAATTTCAATAATATGTGCACCCTAGGCATTGTAAATCAATAATATGGGAACTAAAAATATAACTATAACCAATTTTGCACTTACGAACATAATTTTTCTTATAAAAACTAATTTGTTTTTGTAATGATATAACTTTATTCTTTTTGTTTTGAAATCGTCTCTCCAATCTGTTATATTTCTCTTTTGAAACGTAATCTGATTCATTTTGTTCATCATCATCTTCTTCGCTACTTTCCGTTGAATCTAAACAAACTTGTATCCTGAAAGGTATTAAGTAAAAAATAATATTTACCATCTTCGTGCTTGAGCGGTTTCAAGACTGATTGAGATCGTGCTTGGTTTGATGAGGCAGTTGAAGTTAACTTTTTTGACAAAATTTGATGATTAACATCATTTGTTCGTTTTGCTGATAAGTCATTAGCAACAAGATTGTTAAATTTTGTTTTTTTTTGAGCAATTATTGATTTCATCAACTTCATCTGCTGAAAAGATAGATTAGGTAATATGAATGCGTACGGATCTGGTTCTATTATTTTGACTGAAGAAGTTGATTACAAACACCGACTATTTTAGAAACTTTCGAATAAAAAAAATCTTATACCTTCGAGAATATTCTCATTAGTTGATAGGAATTCATTATTATCATCAAACAATTTTCGTTTAAGTTGAGATGCCTTTTTTTCGTAACGTGTTGGTGGTCCAACAGTAATACTACTAGCCGAATTTATCTTTTTTGAACGAAATGTATCAAATCGATCATCAATTTCTAAATCAAAAGAAAATTATTGTTATATATAGAATTCAAAGAAGTCGATAAAAGCCAATTTATTTTTCAAAAAGTAAAATGGTTTAAATCATTACTCATAATCATCTTTTTTATGATAATTAATTCAAGCACTTTGTGCTGATGAAAGAGTTTGCTATAAAAAAATGCTTCCATGAAAACTATAAATAATAGCATAGTAATTCGGTCACTTTTCTCATTCTTTTACTATATGAAGTTGATATTTAAATTCTAATATGACTGTTGAGAGAATTTGACAATGATCTTTTGTGAAAAACATTAATATGCAAATAACACCTTTTATGTTCTGATGCGTAAACAGTTCAATATTCCTTTTAGAATGTAAGAGCTTCGATCTTTCATTTCGGTATTTATACTAAAAAATTCTTATCGATGATGACTTAAGAGATGCTGCCTTTATTTGTTAATGGAATTATTTCTAAAAATCAATTAAAGTATTTTGGTTCCTCAAATCTATCGCTTAAAATCGTATATTATTTGTAAAGTACATTTTTAAAGCACCTGCTATCTTAACAAAACAGTGATAGTACAAACTAGATTTTTCCATCGATATTTCGAATTTAATAGCTATGAAAAAAGAAAAACTACCATTTATTTTTGATGGTTCAGTCTCTGTTGTTGAACCATCCATAACGTAATTTTCCTCATTTGTTTTTTTGAAGTTGAGTATCTAGAGAAAAAGTACCAATTAATTTCATATAATATAGATGAATAGGCTCACTTGATTCTTTTTTATATCCATAGAACATTTTTCACGATTGATATTATTTGAAATTGTTGATGATGAATTTGTTTTGTCTATGTATTACAAACAAATAAAACATTTCAGTTATTAAGTAACAGACGATAAAAGAGTTTGCATGTTTTTCTTTTATAAAAGATCGTGAACAAAAACAACTATTCATAACAAATCGTCACTCTCAACTAAAATTCTTATGTTTCTAATAGACTCAAATAGATCTCAGTGCTAATTATTGAGTTTTGGTGCTAGAAGGCTACTTCATAGATTTTGCTAGATGAATATATTCCAAAAGGTATTTAATATGCCTTTGTACATCACAAGACAATCATCATTTATATATGGCGATAAATATCTAATATCACTATTAGACTCAAAAAATGAATCCTTCAGTCATTTTTTAATCATAGAAACAGCATATATAATATATTTTAACATGATAATTCTGCTGAATATTTTTCATAATTGAGCGAACACTTTCTTTATTTTAGTATAACGTAATACATATTTACGTTTTGTTTTTTCTGAAAGTTGACCTTCTTCAATATTCTCCTCTTGTATAACTTGAAGTTGTTCAACACATAAATCTTCACTACCTTTAAAAAAATAAGCAGAAAAAACTGTATAAACATTTTAAAGAATTACACACTAACCGAAAAGCAATACTTTTCCACGTTCTGATTTTCTAGAACCCATGGTTGACTTGTATGTAGCAGTTTCACTTACTTTTACAGTTTTACCAAAATTAATAAAACAATCCAAAGGTACAAGGATAACTTTATTATCTTTTTCTCTTTGGACTATAGCATGAGTATGGTCTTCGGAGCATTGAACATTTGCAATCGAATAATTCGACTGTGAATGAACACTTGAAACAGAGTTTCGTCGACAACGTTTTTCTTCCATCTGAAAACAAACAAAAGGGAAATACATAAAAATATTCTGAATTTAAACCTAAAAAAGGGTTAAATTGAATTTTTTAGATATAATTATCGATCATTAACTATAAAAACAACTTGCACTAAATTGTTTTGCTATAAAATTATTGAAATCCTAACCGTGCTTTCTATAGAAAGATTAACAGTCTGTAACGAACACATTTTAAAACTAAACACATAAAGAAACCAACAGTTTTATTGGAGGACTTGTTATTAGAAAAAACTTCATTTCCTATTTCATTTATGAACCACATCTAACAAGTTCTTCTCTTACTTGTGATTATGATGTGTACTCAAGAAAAATCCTAAAATTTTTTCATAGGTGGCGCTGCTATGGATTGAATTCTGTGTTACCAAATTTCATTACTAAATGAAAATAATTAGTTTTATAAGTATGCAGAAGATTTTTTAAAATTTATCAGAATTTTGTTCAATGTGAAAGCTGTTAAAATATATTTTGATCACAAAGATCATTCGATTATTAAAACTCTTGTTCACCATAGATAAGAAGAGAAAAAAGTATACAGAATTAAAGATAACGTGTGCATCTCATCATTCTAAAAGTTAACGAGTTATTGATGTTATATATTGCTTTTAAATGCCTCTGTAGATTCATAAGTTTCGAAAATACATATTCTTCTATGAATACAAAGACGTTTACCAAAAACGTTTTTCGGTATCATAAAAAAGAGAATTATACGTTGAAAATTTTAAATACTATCTGTGTGTTTGTATTTGACTTAAAGTATTAAATTAAGTCATTTCTAGTATTTTATATATTGGATTGATAAACCTGGTTGTACCTTCTCGCTATCAATTACTTAATAATTAAACAAATATCATTTTCATGTATCATCAGTGTTCATATTTAATGTTCTAATGTATATTCTAGATATATGAAATCAATTCTGCATCTGAAGTTCCAACTATTTCGTTAATATATCATCATCTGGGTATCGTTTTATATAATGAAAGTTCATTGACAAAAAGAAAAATTACAACGCATCATATAAACTTGTATATTTTATTTATTCATATTCGAAAGCTACGATAAAAGACATGCATGAATACTATACCCACCAGAAAATTGTTGACCAACCAATACCTATAAGATAGATCTGATTTGAAAACTGTTAAGTACTCAACAATATTCGATTTCTTTTTCATAACTTTTTTATTTGTCCTAATAATTAGTGTATCATACATATTAATGTATCTTTCCGTATGTTTGCTATATTTGTTCTGCATAATACAAAAAAATAGTTATGCCAATGGCAATCAGTGGCGTAGCCAGAAAGTTTCCAACGGAGGTGCTGATTCATTATGGGAATGCACATCAACAGCAAAATAAATTTCTATTTCTGAGAAGCATCTTTTATCCATACTACCCTCCAGATGCTTTTTTGGCCAAGGGAGTGCCCGGGACTCTGTTCATCCTTCCGCTGGCTACATTCCTCATGACAGTGCCAGTGTGTTGATAAAAAATTAATCTCTTGATAACTTTTCATCAAATAGAAGATTGATTTTTTTTCTTCGATGATAAGCAAGTTCGGTTCAGATTTTTTGAAAAATCTAATTTAATTTATGTATTTTAGTTTGTGAAATCATAATTGAAAGTTCTTTTTAATACTTTTATTACATAAAAAAGAAAGATTAAAAACAGTACATGCTATTTGATAAAATATAATAACAATATAATAAATTCCAAAAAGTCGGCAGTATTTAATATCATAAATAATAGTCTTATAGAAAAAATACAAATGAAATTTATTTGAAAAAGAAAAAGTTTCCGAAAATTGAAAAATTTTTTGATATATACAGTCTATTTTATGCAAGTATATTTTCACACAAGAATACAAATATTAATAATTAAAATATAATTTATACAGAAAATATTCTATTGATACATGCATTTGTACATAAGATAGATATGAATTCACGATTCATACATACTTTCTGTTTCATTCGACAACGATTGTGGTCACATGTGGTTTCGCAGTACGTACACTTGCTTCTAAATCGCTAGTTCACTTATTCTAATATCATTTCTATCATTTTAGATACATCAACATTTCAACATTCCGTTCGCCTATAGTGAGGTAAAGACCATCGTTAGAGGATATCGATGGCGACTCAGATCAAACCTGAGACGGATTGTAATATTTTTTTAAAATTTTAAATATCGAATCGAACGCGTCTAGACGCGATTTTCCTCAACCGCGTCTAGCTGCAAGTTTCCTGAACCGCGTCTAGCCGCGATGTGGTCTAGAACCGCGTCTCCAGTGAAACATTTCTTGCGTCTAGACGCGACTTACTCCAACCGCGTCTAGACGCAAGAAATGTTTCACTGGAGACGCGTTTTATTGCGTTTCTTTGCTGTGCCTTGCACGCAAAGAGACGCAACTCGGACGCGTTTTTATCGAAAAAATATTTACATGGGGTACCTAATCGTGCCAAACGGCTTATACATATTAAAGGATATATGATGAATTTATTAACGAGACAAAGTTATCTCTTTCAATTCGAAAATGCTAATGTAAATTCTTGCTTTTCTTCTATTATTAATATATAAACATTGATTTGTAGAGTTCGGTTAATTTGTCTTATTATGGTGTTGTTTGTGATATAGCACCAGGCGATTATATCATTATTCATCATAATGTTGATTATATGCCTGATCGTGTCTATACACTTTCAGTATTTACAGTAACTGCTATGTCAACTACACCACTTTCAGCTTCAAGCAACAATGGTGATTGGCATTATGATAACACTACACATATATTTTCCTATATCGGTAATTATATTTATTATGCCTATTTATACTTTTTTGTATTTTGAATAATTTAGTAAAAAATCCATCTTCAAATACGGCTTCAATGGATGTATCAGCTAATTTGAATGTCATCAAATGTCGATATCCAAATTGTCAACCACCAATACAACCAGGTCTTGCATTGCCAGTAACAGCTCGACCAGCCAATGCTCTATATTGGTCGAATGATTCACATTGGAGCTTTGCTTCAGCAGGTTATGGTGGATATGGCAAGTTCATAGCATTAGTTGTAAACGTGTTTTTTTGTTATTGATTATGGTTTGACATTTCTTAGGAGGTGTGAAACCTGGTGATAATACAGATATATATATTCCTTATGGCGTCTGGCTTGTTGTTGATTACTCATTACCTTGTATTCTTTCATTACGTATTGATGGTGTCCTTGAATTTGAACAAGTATAAATTGTATATTTTTTTAAATAATGATTCTTGATTTTTTTTATTTTCTAGGGTATGAATAACACTCTTTATGTTGATAGTATTCTTATCAATGGTGGTCAATTAATTGTCGGTAAGTAATAATAAATCTTATTTTAAATATATATAATTGTGTTATTTTTTAGGTTGGCCAAATAATCCCCTCCGATCATATGTTGATATAATTATAACTGGCTCATCATCAGTCAATGTTCTATTACCTAATAGTGCTGGTACAATTGGACCTCGAGTAAATAGTGTATTAGGTGGTCTAGATTTACATGGTATTCCACATAATGTCTCGTGGACTCGACTTGCAATAACAGCATCAGCAGGTCAAACTTCTATTACATTAATGGAACCAGTCGATTGGGTTATTGGTGATGAAGTTATTTTAACAACAACAGCTACACGAATAGGACATGTAGAACGACATACTATTGTAGGTATAAGTGGAAGTCGTACAGTAATAACATTAGCTCGTGCTCTCACTTATGACCATATTGTTATCGATCATGTATTTCCTAATGGTGAAGTCTATCATGTTGCTGGTGCTGTTGGTCTTTTAACAAGAAATATACGCGTTATTAATCGTAGTCCAGCATCGGAATTATTTGGCTTTCGTATTATTGTTACCGATTATGCAACAAATATTTGGGATCCACTTGGAGCAGCCTATTTATATACATATTATAAAGGTTACGCACGATTATCTGATGCTCAATTTATTGGTTTTGGTCAATTTGTTGATGCTCCTAATGAAGACAAACGTGAAGGTATTCATTTATATAATCTTGGTGATTGGAATGCATCACGACCAACTTATATTGATTCATGTTCATTTAATACGGGATATTATTCAGCGTAAGTAACGAGTTAAGAATTTACTTTTGTTTTATTCTCTCTCAATAAATATATTTTAGTATTGATGTATGGGATACAAATGGTGTACCTATAACAAGAAATGTTATATATAACACTTATGAATCAGCTCTTGTTGTTACAGGACAGAATAATATTGTAAACAATAATCTTGTTTCAACTATCTATTGGTCTAGTGAAGCTCAACCACAATATGCTCAATTCAATGCTAATAATGATGGTCCTGTTATGCCAAAAGACGCTACTAGTGTCGTTATGAGGGTATACCTTTTTCTTTTATTTAAATTATTTGATTATTCTATAAAAATATTCTATTTAGAACAACTTAGTAGCTGGTGTTCAACGTCAAGCTTATCGTATTCAAGGAAATTCATGTCCAGGAACTGTTTTACCAGCTGGTATAAACAATGATTATGACAATAATGAAGCACATTCAGTTATGGCATGTGTTAATATGTGGCCTCTTGATACCAGCTTTCCATATGATACTAGTAAGTCATTAAAACAAAATTTGCTATCATACTGAATTGTTAATTAACATTGTATGTAATAGGTTGTGTATTGATCAAAGGTTTCAAGTAAGTTTAGCATTGTTTTGTTTACTTTTCAGAAGTATAATATACTTCTTATTTAGAACTTACAAAACATGGTATTATGGATTATATATATCAATACACCACACAATATCATTATTGATTCATGTAAAATAGCCGATAGTCGTGTTGATATTTTTACACTTGTCTTGGGTCGTCCAGGTTATATTATTTGAGAAAATAAATGATTTCTAATAAATATATTTTATTTTTTTAGCTCTAACACATGAATTCAGTAATAATTCAATAATTATTCGTAATTCATTAGTTATTGGTGCCATAACACCAAACGATTGTAATGATGTACCCGATATGACTACACTTAGTGAATTCTATTCTTCGAGAGCCATTCCTCTTGTATCTGCAACAGCACACTCAGAAAATCTGGCTGGTCGAGCAGGCATAACATTCCCATACTTTTCAGGCAATAACTTAATACCAGCTCATCCATATACAAGTATTGCTGTCTATCCCAACAGTAAGTTATTTAACTTGTCTTAAACTATTTCTAAAACTGATGTTTTTGCTTTCGTTATATTTATAGTTGATGGTTTAATGTCAATAACAAATGTAACACTTGCCTTTTATAATGATATATGCTCACGTCGTGATATAGCTATTCAAGTATCACAAAATAATGATGATGGTCAACATCCAATAGTAACAGATCATATGTCAGTTTATAATACATCGTATTCAAGTGTAATTTTTAATGGACGACCAAATTTAGATCGTGTTAATCCAAGTGATTGTGTTGGTAAGAAAAGTTGTATTGATTATTTATTTTTATTCATTTTTTTATATATAGATATGGATTGTGATGGTTTGAAAAAGGCTTTACTTACTGACACTGATGGTACTTTATTTGGTCAACCATCAAGTGTTTTTTCACAAGTTGAATATCTTTGGGGTAATTAAAATTTTCTTTTGTTTTTAAATTATCTTTCTTTCATTTAAGGTGATCAAGCTCATGGTGTTGATGATTATCGTATTCCATCAGTTGCATTAGCTAGTATGAATGGTACAATGATAAATATTAATAATACTTATCCTTATCGGGGTACAAGTCGTGCATTAACATGTACATATCAACCATTATATCAAATGTATTTATGTCGAAATACAACTGATTATTGTATGTTAATTATTGAAAGTATGGATCCTGATACAGAAACACGACGTCTTTCACCTATTGCTATTATGTCTGATAATGGTTTTATTGATTTAATTAATGGTCCACAAGATCATGGTTGGTGTAATGGTTATACATGTCAAAAACGAATATCAACATTTATGGCAATAGTTGAGGCAAGACATCATTATGAGATCTATTTAACAAGTACAACACCAAATCATATACGTTTTCGATTACTTAATGCTGATTCATTAATAAGAACATTATTGGCACTCTATTATAACTCACTACAACAAATTGATGTGTATGCTAATGGTGTTTATGTGTCACCAACAAATCGGAATCCAAATTCCTCATATTTAATGTTACTTGATCAGCCGAGTGGTATAACATATGCATCACCAGCTGGTTCAAACTTTTTTAATAGGTAAAACAAGAGAGAAAGCATAAAACAGAATATCTTCTAGCTCTTGAAAGTATATTTTGACCAAAGATATACAAATTCTAATGAAATACACCAAAGAAGTGTCCTCTGCTATAATTCAATATGGCAACACTTTCTTTTTCTGTCTCTGTAATTACAGAAACTAAAAAAACTTAGCTCTTGATTTTTTAAAAGATTTGCCATGAAAAATTCATGTTCTAATTTTTTATTACTATTGGTGAGAATGGAAAATTTGAAAATAAATCTAGTCGAATAATTTGAAGAGCTCCTTTATATATAACACAAAAATATAAACTTATCTTTAATTATAGAACAACACAAATGGCATCATTTATAATTGATGGTCTTACTGTTATTGATTTGAAGATATCGGAATTAATTGTATTAACATTTGGTTTACCACCCACAACACCTTCGGCATTCTTTACAACTAATCTAGTTGGTAATTTAGCTGCTCTACTTAATGTTACTCCTGATAAAATTCGACATGTTAGGATTGTCTCAGCAAATAATGAAACGTAAGTAATTCTATTATCATGAATTATTTTTCTATATATTTATATTTTGTTTTTTTATCAGACGAATTCGTCGTCAAGTAACTCTATTATCAAGAATCAATTTACGCGTTGAAATACGCAATGAACCACCAGCAACTTTATCTGGTACTAATAATAATGCATCATCTAACACTATTTGGAACACTACTGCTGATATTATTAATCGCTATCAATCAGGTCAATTACAACTAGCATGGGCAGCTGATCCAGTTTTAAATGCTACGGGTCTACTTAGTTTAAGTATTCAAGAACCCGGAAATCAAACAACAGTTTCATTGAGTGTCATCAATCGAATAGTATTAATAGTTCCACCATCATCATGCCGTTTACAAAGTGTATGTGATATTCAACCAATAATTGTAGCATTTGATCCATCAGGTAATATTATAGACAAATTAGATTCAAATGATCAACCATGGCAAGTTGTTGCTTTCGTCGTTGGATCATCAAATGTAAGTGCTATTGGTGCTATTGCTAATTATTCAAATGGACAAACTCAATTTACAACATTTGGCGTCACAGGATTGGATTCTTATCAAATTGGATTTGCTTTTATTACACCAAATGGTGTTGACAAGTAAATAAAAACAATTTTATATTCTTTTAGTTAAATTTTGTTCTTTTTTTTTTCATTTTCCTAGTTCAACCTTTCTGAGTATTAATTTAACAGCTGATGCATCATCAGTGTCAGTTAGTAGTCCTATATTATCTGTTATGCAATATATCAATGTTGATGTTGTTTCAATAAATGAAACATTTAATCTTACAACATTGATTGTTGATAAAATATCGAAAACTAAAATTGGAAATATTCAGTGGGGTAATTCTAATTGGTCAGCAACAGCTTCACTTTATACTTCGTTACAATATCAAAGTAATGGTTCATTATTAGCAACAGCATCATCAAGTGTTATTGTTGATACAACGAAAAGCACAATATCGGTTACAAATCTAGCAATTAGTGAAATTGGAATGTATATTATACAAATTCAAAAAACATCATCCGACAATCAATTTTCAATATTATTTACTTGAAATGGTATTTTAGTTAAACCAAATTCAAGTATGTTCTTGTGTTTGTTTTTTTTTTGAAATAAACAAATAAAATTCTATATTATAATTTCTGTTCTATAGCTACTCTTGAGGTTTATACCGGTTTTCCACCAGTGAATATCGCTTTTATTGGCGATTATGCTTCATACAACGCAAGCGGCACACTTGAAATTTTACGAGCTGCAATCTATAATTATTTGGTTATTATTCTTAAATTTCCATTGACTAGTGACCTGGTCCTGAGATAAGGTTTGTCATAAGAAAGATTTCAAGTTATGTCTTTTTACTTCATTTGATGTATTCGAATTTCTAGGTAGTATCGTCGTTCTTGATACGGTAGGCTCCACTGCTAGTGCAGTCACAGCTCTATCACGAGCTGCTAATATTCTGACAACGACTGGTGTAGGAGCTGTATCTGGTTTGAGAGTTTCTTCCGTGAATATTAATGGTCAATTTTATAGTGTATCTTCAGCGTCAAATACTTCAGATGAAGGAAATAATATAGGATTAATTATTGGTCTTGTTGTGGGTCTTGTTGGTGGTGCTATTATTATTATTGGTTTAGTTTTTGGCTTTTATCGCTATCACAAAAAACACAAAGGTCAACCTCTTTTGAATGAAATGGATGAAGTAACTCCAGTGCCCATTCAATCAGAACACAATTGTCAGAATACCGTACAGCCATCAAAATCATTAAATGATAAATCTCGTTCAACGCAACCAAAATCTGTCAAACCTCAAAATACATTGAATTCGACTGCTCATCGACTTCATTCACCATTGCCGGAGCATATAAATGAAAAACGACCTCCATCAGGGGCACTCAGTGCTACTGGACTTAACGCTACGATGCCAAATCATCAACCATCCACAATTGACTCACTACCAGCTGTCGAACTTATCCGATTTGATTAGATATGACATTTTTTATGCTTTTTTCTTCTCATTCTTATAACATTGCGTATCTATATTTTTAAATATCTAATTTTCTTTTTTGATCATCCTACTGCTTCTTCTTATTCATGGCATATATAAACATACATTGGCGTTTTTTTACATGTCGAATTACGTCTTTCATTTTCAAAAACAAATAAAATTTTTCATCTTTCTTAACACAGATCTATAGTTCAACTTTGCAACACATAATTATGATGAATTAAAATATTCGAATTTCCTTAGAATGTATTAGACTACGAAATTTACCTGATACAAAGAAACAACTAGAAATCTCGTGCTGACTATTCTCTGAAAGATTAATTGATGCCATTTCTTAATAGAACGAAGCGACTTGAACAATTTATCCATAACGTATTTGTCAAATACTTAGACAAAACTGATATTGATTGATTAGGCGATATAGAATGTTTATGGTATATGAAAAATGAACAAAATGTTTCGCAAACTGTTTTTTTTTCAAACATTTTTCATATAGTATATATAGTTAATTCTTATTCGAATCTGTAAATAAGTAGATGTTTTTTATTATGTATGAGAACGGTGGAAGATGCATAATCATTTATCAATACTATTTATAAAATTAATCAAAATAATGAACATTACTGTGGTACTGCCAGTCAACAGGTTTTAACGTTACTAAGTATGCGTCATCAACAAGATGAAATATATCGAATAATTATGTTAAAAATCCAGAAGTACTAACAAATGGATCATATCATTATAATAGTTCATTTAATAGCAAAGCTCTATTTACTAGTCCATCATGCGATAGTTTGCATTAAAAATATAATAAGCTATTTAACTACAAAATACAACGTCGTTTCTTTTTAACTGGTCATCGTACGTATATATCTCTTTATAGCGAAGTGAAATTACGTAAATAGAAAATAATAATTGACACCGAATTTCAAACGGTGTTAACATATGATAATAACAGGCGAACAGCATTCAAAACTGATGTAAAAACAGATAAACGGGTGTGTGTGTTAAAAGAAGTCCCACACCTCCACACCCAATCAATTTCTTGATAAGAAATCGTACGGACTTAGCAAAGATCTTTGCAAGTTATTGTTTCGTCTATGTATTCATGTTTAATAATTGAGAAACTCCTGAGAAATCATTCATGAATCATAAACCTCACAGATTTCGTTAGATTTCACTCAGAATTCGATCCAGGATGTGCACGAGTTCTTTTTCAAACAATTGTCTGCATTGAGGTTTTAAAATCATGCGAAGATTCATTGTTATTTCTATTCAGGAACTTGAAAATAATAGTAAAGGAAATTTTATTAAAATTTCATTAGATTTGAATTAAGATCAGTTCAGAACTCTGATATGAAGATTCAGCCGGGAATCCTAGTCAAATTAGGCAAAGGATTATACCATGATGACATCAAAATTGGTCAAAATCTTCGAATATGAGGGTGTGAGTGTCAGTGTTAGTGTGATTGCATAGAAGCGTGTGAAGCATGCACACATCTACATCCACACCCTAACATTGTTGAAGATAACAACTAATATTTTATTTTTATTTTTCTTTTGTTGTGTTTGTTTCATTTTTTTCTTATTTTTATTGTTTATTGTTGAATTCTCGGTCTTTCTTATTTCCACCATCATCAGAATGAATATAGCATGGCCATTACTATTAATGATAAAATATTCTTATGGTCGAATTTAAATAGCGAACTATTCACGCATATAAAAACATGAAAGGTAAATTAATTGTTGTCTTGTTTTGAAAAAATAAGAAAAAAAACTATTTTTTCGTTGGAAATTATATATACATAAACATACATTTACTTATAGAATATATATGAGATCTTGATGATGTGAATGACATTGTGGATTATTTTTGATTTCGAATAATTATTTTGGAAGAAAAAAGTCAGAATGAAATCTGATTTGAATAAATGTCAGTCTAAATTTTTCTTACCAAAGGTGAAATAATTTCTTTTTCATTCAGTTGACATTTTTTTCGTAATAAAATATCTGACCTTGATCATTAGTAAACTAAAAAAGGGGGAGAAAATAGGCGGTTGAAGCACATGAAAGAAAAATAAAATGGTATCATATGTATTTATGCAGGAAAAAAAACAATTTTCTTTTTTTTACTCCTACTATCAATATATTTGATGAAGGAAAGGTGAATAGTGGAGTGAAAAATAAGGTAACCATTCATTAGCATATTTTTTTCTCTTGTCATTGCACACATATTGAAATATATTTCATGACCGGTGTCGCGAAACTTTTTGACGGACATATTCTTCATAAATCAAATCAAGAAGTTCATCTTAATGATGAAAAATATAAAGGAAAAGTAATTGGAATTTATTTTAGTGCTCATTGGTATGTTTAAACTTTTTGTTTATGTAATACAAATAGATTTTTCCTTTCTTAGGTGTCCACCATGCCGTGGTTTTACTCCTATATTAATTGATTTTTATAAAAAACATAGTGAAAGTAAAAATTTTGAAATTATTTTCGTTAGTTCAGACAGTGATGAAGAATCGTTTAATGATTATTATAAAGACATGCCTTGGTGGAAATTGGATTATAAAGAAAGAGACAAACGGAATGAATTAGCAAGTTCATTTAAGATTTCTGGAATACCAACTTTGATTTTATTAGATGGTGACTCCGGTGAAATTATTTGTAATAATGCAAGAGAACAAATTGAATTTCAAGATAAGAATGGAGAAAACTTTCCATGGAAAGGTGAAACACATGCAAAGGCATCTAAGCCGTGTATTTTACTTTAAATATTTTTTTTCTTTCAAAATAAATATGATGAGAAATGTACTATGATGTTTACTTATTGAATGTACATGACGGTATTTCGAATGATCTGAAACAAATATTTAGCATATTGCTAATTGAAAGATCAATTTATTTGAAGAGACCATCAGTATACAACTTAACGAGGGTGTGGGTGTGGGTGGATGTGGCTGTTGCTGTGGGTCCGAGTGTGGGTATGTGGGTGTTGGGTATGGATGTTTATCTTTAATATATCCACACTCACACCTCCGCCC